CAGGAGAGCCAAATCTAAAGTCTTTATCAATACCCAAATCCACAGCCGACCATCTGTGGGTCTGTCATGCACCTATCTCTCTGTCTAACTGTCTGTCTGTACGTCTATCCATGTCTTTACTCTCTCTCTCTCTCTCTCTCTCTCTCTCTCTCTCTCTCTCTCTCTCTCTCTCTCTCTCTATATATATATATATATATATATATATATATATATATATATATATATATATATATATATATATATATATATATATATATATATATATATGTATTCTTTCTCTCTCACTATATATATATATAAATGTGTATACATATACATAGTGTGTGTGTGTGTGTGTGTGTGTGTGTGTGTGTGTGTGTGTGTGTGTGCGCAAAGATTAAGCAGGTATATACCTCATATGAATAATATGTACTGCCAGAAAAACATGGCTCTGCTGTTAATATAAACGTTTGAACTGGTGACTAGATATGTGTCAAGGCAGGTGCGCAGAAAACCTACCACTGACCTTTATGTTACTACTAATACACCTCATATATTACAATTTGAGTCATAAAGTCTTATAATTCAACTCAAAACACAAAGAAAGATATCAAATTTGGTAACCGAATTCACACTCCATATGTTCAACGAAGTGTGCAAAACTGACACATGTTACCCCCTCTCCCTCCCCCCCCAGTCGGTTAATGAGAATAATAACTTAACCAAAATAATGATTAAATGCCTGACACTCACAAACTACATATAACAACACACTCGTTATTACGAACTCGAGTTGTGTCTCGTAAGGCCTATGCTAAAGATAAATAAAAAAAAATAAACAACTGATGAACGTAATTTTAATGACATAATGTTGGAACAACGAGCAATATATGAACGAGTGGTGATCATTATATTCTGAAGAGATGCATATATGCCTCTGTGGTTTTGCTTTCGGGATATTAAAGTGTCGTGTTCTTTCATTAATCTCTGTCTGGTATTCTATTCAAACCCTCGTTTTCTTTGTGTTTGAACGTAAATACGATTGCATCACGACCGCATTGTTGCGACGGTCATGAAAGAAAAAAAGAAAGAAAAAAAAGGCTGAATCACGACTATTATTTTTTAAACTCATATTTATATATGAAATGAACGTTGATTATTATAACGCATCAAGCCTAAATATCATCATCATCATCATCATCACCATCATCATCATCCTCATCCTCATCATCATCATCATCATCATCATCATCACCATCACCACCATCATCATCATCATCATCCTCATCATCATCATCACCATCACCATCATTATCATCACCATCATCATCACCATCCTCCTCCTCCTCCTCCTCCTCATCATCATCATCATCATCACCATCATCATCACCATCCTCCTCCTCATCATCATCATCATCATCACCGTCAAAACCATTAAGCCTCAAGGTCAGAGAACATGGCTTTGCGTGCATGTGTTGCCGACCAGCTGATCTTGCAAAGGGCGTGGTCAGCCGTGTGACCTATTTCACTTCAGTCACGATCTCCGCTGACCACTTACAGGAAGGGTTGGGTTATGTGCGTATGCTTGCTTTTGTGTGTGTGTGTGTTTGTGTGTTAGTGTGTGTGCTTGTGTTAGTGTGTGTGTGTGTATGTGTGTGTGTGTGTTAGTGTGTGTGTGTGGTTGTGTGTGTGTTTGTGTGTGTGTGTGTGTGTTTATTACACATTAGGATTACATTTATGTGCATAGTATAACTACTAACAAAACCATAGATAATAACAATAATAATGATAATAATAACAATAATGATAACAGTAGTAGTAGTACTACTACTACTAATGAGGATAATAAAAATAACAATGATAATAATAACGATAATGATAATAATAATAATCACAATAATGATAATGTTAATAATGCTAACAATAATGATAATATTAATAATGATAATAATAGCAACAGCAACAACAATTACAATAATAATCAACTGAATTAATTAGTTAATAATAACAATAAAAACCAGTAACAGTCTCCGAAACTTGCACAACATTTTTTATTATACTGTACTACACTAATTCGTTCGTAACACACTAGCAGGTCAGACAAACACGAATGCATAATGATCTTTCTCCTGCTTCTGTTATTTGCTTTTTCAAGTATTTATTGTATGAAGATTTCGCTCCATTAGGACTTTAGCCGGATGCCCTTCCAGATGCCAGCCAGTGTCAGGCTTTGTACGAATGGAATTTGATGTCGGGGATTTTCAGTTTTATATTGTGTATTTTTCCAGACATACATACTCAAATGCATATGTACATATCTCCATGCACGTAAAACACACACATACACCACCCCTGTACACACACCACACATACACATATATAGACACACACACACACACATGTAGATAAATATATATATATATATATATATATATATATATATATATATATATATATATATATATATATATATACACATACATACACACACACACACACACACAATCAATTTAATTACAAA